CCCGAGTTACCATCTACCGCCATTATCAAGAGTAACACAACGCATGCAAACTGTAAAATTACGGATGAACCACTGATGTTACATGGACCATTTTAACGATGATCTTACTTTGTTTCTGTGCCTTGACTGTGGTAGTTACCTTGCTGTCTATGGTGGGGCAGAGAGCTCTCGGATTTCATCAAAAATATCTTAATTTGTGTTCCAAAGATGAACGAAGATCTTATGGGTTTGGAACGACATGAGGGTGAGTAATTATTGACAGAATTTTCATTTTTGGGTGAACTATCCCTAAGGTACCAATATGGATCCTTTAGGTCCAAAGGTGTACCTTTTGAAAAGGTTCTGCCCCAGTGACAGCTTTTGTCGCTTTATTTCTGAGTGAATGAAGACTGGAGTAATGGCTGCTGAAAATTCAGCTTTGCATCACAGGGATAAATTACATTGTAAAATATATTAAAATAAAAAATAGTTATTTAAAATTGTAATAATATTTCACAATATTACAATTTTTTACTGTATTTTGATCACATGAATGCAGCCTTGGTGAACATAAGAGACTTTCAAAAACAATAAAAATCTTACCATCCCCAAACTTATGAACTTTAGTATTGTCTTTTACAGTCTGTTCTTTACATTTAGACTACCTTTGCCATCTTCTAACGCTCACTTAAAGTAAATCTTTAACAACATTAATAATTTAATAGCACTGTTAAATGTAATCTTTACCAGATCTCAGAATGAATATGTTTTCATATTGTACATCATAATTTTGTGATGCATAAATTCACTTTTAGCATTTATGATGATCAATTTTAGTTTTTAATGTTTTATTTTTCAAAATTTATTTAGACTGAATAGTATAGAATTGTAATATTATTTAATGTAGCTTTAAGAAGGTAACTGTAAAGGTTTCTTTATAGAGTTTGGGTGGTCGGAAGTACAACGGTTGTAGTTTCCAACTACTAGGAGCGTTTTACCACAGACTTTTCCTAATTTCCACTGAATCCCACACCTTTCCAGATGGTAGCCTTTGAACTCAGCACTCAGTACTGCTAATTGCAAATTTACATGGTTGAAGCTGGCACCTGTCTGTGTAGTACTTCTCAGCGGTGCACATCATGTAATAGCAGCCATATGTTTGTGTTGTACGTTATTGCCATACCTGTCTGTTTCTGTCTCCCCTACCCTCTGAACCGCTCCTTGCTGGACCATTTAGCTTGATATTCACAGCACAGAAAAACCATTGACTGTACTTTATTAAGGACAAATCCCACCTTTGCTCTTGTTGATGGAAAGATGTCTAAATTTGAATACTTTTTATGTTTTATGTTATAAATCATTGATGTAATGTATATGTTGGACTTAATAGGAGACATTATGTGTTGACAATGTAAAACCTGTCTTGAGCTAGGTTTTGTCTGACATCTTAGCAGCTTGGGGCAGTCTTTTGTGACCTGAAATTGACTGAGACATGTCCCATCTCATACCTAATACATCTGAAGCATCATTATGTTTCCATTTGTGCACCATTGATTCATGTGACTAAAAGATGCAGTGGGGTGACTTGACATCACAATGCAGATCTATTGCCATGTTTAGAAGTATAGTTTACTTCAAAATGTAATATTCATGCCTTAGCTCAATGAGTAACCAGTTTTCTGGCAAATCACAAACTAATGTCACATCAGAGAGCTCAATTAATAATTCCCCAATTTTACCCCCTGTGGAGGATAATTTCAGGTCAGCTAAGCATAACCTTGATCTGCTTTTCCAGTCCAGTTTTAAAAGTCTGAGGTTTCCATAAAAAATCCCTTACAAGACCATATTCCTGGCAGTAGAAATCCGACAGTGAGCTTTGTGTTAGTCTAAAGGAAAACCATTCAGGGAAAAGATTAGGTAACATACTATATTTTTTTCACTTGTATATATATATTTATTGAATCTGAAATGCAGAACTGTTCTGTGAACAATGCTAATTTGTATTACCAATTTGTTTTGATTCTGGCAGAACGGATAGATTTGTTCAAGTCTCTACTTGTTCATCAATACTTAGCTTGGTCTCTAACCACAAGTTTGTTTCTTTTTTAAAATCATTATAGACAAAGCTGAGTTAGGCCTGTGGATGCTTTGTTTCCTGTTAAACAAAGGTCCTTTTTTTCCAGTATGGGGACCTCTTCTTTGGAAGAGCGGCACATACTTCTGGCCTATTGTGACCAGATGTCATGTCAGTTTAAGCAGTAGCTCATAACGGTGTACATTCATTTGAATATATTTCATGGAAGGACAAGTTAACAATTTTTATTCTATACATAAGTTATTGTCTTGTAAGTGATGGGAAATTACTAATTACTTTGCACATAATTTCACTTTTTGTTATTAGTGGCTTTTCAAACAATTACATGGTTTAATGCATTTGGCAATTTTTAAAAACATGAATTATATATATGTGTGCAGGCAGGGCCGCATTAATCATTGGGCTAGGCGGGGCTGAAGCCCCGGGGCCCGAGCAAGGAGGGGGCCCGTGATTGGCTGTGGAGTAGATTGACGGACATCGGTAGCGCCGATCGCAAAAAACCCACCACGCCCCTCACTTTTTAGCGCTATTATTTAGTGGAGTTTTCCGTAAATTCCATGCATTACCATTAGAGATTAAAACGTCACATTTTAATTTGTTTTACCAATCAAATGCATTTATTATATATTTTACTTTTGAACAAACTGTGCACGTAGCCTATCTATCAGGTGATCGCTGCGCCTAATGTCTGCATTCACCTCTCTTCACTTCATTCTGGTGTAATCTAGAAATGGTCATGCAAAGAACAATCTTCGATAAGTAAAAATCGAGAAAAAAAATGAGGAGAGAGGGGAAAACATGAGTTAGTCACTAAAATCCGCAGCTAGTTTATTTTACTAAAGCTGATGATGGAGTGGGAGTTGTGGAACCGCAAATGGACCGGTGTTACTGCTTATTCCGTCTTTCGGATGAGACGTTAAACCGAGGTCCTGACTCTCTGTGGTCATTAAAAATCCCATGGCACTTCTCGTAAAG